TATATATATATATAGACAAACACACACAGTGGCAGAGCCACATAGAAGATTAAGGGGCAATTGCCCCTTTAATATTTTTAATTGTTTTTAAATAATAGATATTGATTTGATTGTTTTAAATTAATTAAAGGTTATATCATTTTTATTTAAATAGGTTATGATATAGAATTAAATTTTTTCAGGAGATGAACAAGCAAACATTTTAATTGTTGTCAGTGAATAAAGATTGATATTTACAAAATTAAAGGTTGGTTTTTTCTTAAAAAAAACTATTTTTTTGTTTTTAAAAATAATTTATCATGATAAATTTAAACTATCAATCCTGATTCATATCCATGTATTATGTATAGTATGTTGCATGGTAATGGGGTGTGAAATGAGTTTTGATGAATTAATATTTATTTTATTATGAATTTCATATGAATAATTTATAATTATTATGTAATTGAACTGAATTTTGTTATTATGAAAACTTAAAAAAATAATTATAATGTAAATTTTCTCATTTAAAAGTATTTTTAAATTAATTTTGTTTTATATAAGTTTGTATATTTGTTTTGAATTGATTTTTAATGTATATCTACATAATATAATATTTGTTAATTAATTTGGCCCCTTATTTAAAATATTCTGGCTCTGCCTATGTGTGTGTGTGTGTGTGTGTGTGTATATATATATATATATATAACTAAATCTTATCATGGTATCAGAGCCTAATATCCCTTAATCACTATTGAATCCTTTCTTCCTCTGTCTCTTAAAACCTTTTGTCCTTTTTGATCCCCTTCCGTCCTTCTTGATATCATATCCTTAAATCACTACTATTGAATCTCTTCTTCCTTTGTTTCGTAGTTTTTCTCTACTTTTTGATCTTACATCATGATGAATGACAAAACAGAAGCCACATCTATTATTCATGTTCAAATCGAAAACCCTGAATTCACAACTGATGCTATTTTTACTGATGTTAACTATAATGTATGGTCCCAAATTATGGAGATGCAAATTGCAGGAAGGGAGAGGCTTGAATATATTATAGGCAAAACATAACCTCCTTAAGATACTGATACTTCTTATGCAAAATGGTATGTTAAAAATTAAAAAGTTAAGGGGTGGTTGTTAACTTCTATGTCACCAGATATTATGAAACGATACATGTAACTACGCATTGCACATGAAATCTAAAATGTTTTATCCAAAGCTTTTTACGATGGATCATACAAATCACAACTTTTCTCACTAAATTAGAAAGCCTTCTCCTTGAAATAGATGGAGCGCCCATTATCAATATACTATGGTGATCTTTTGGAAATCTTTCAAGAACTTGATCATTATGATAGAACTATAATGAAAGACCCTAACAATATCATTACTTATAGAAAATATGTTAAAAGATTATAGGTACATATTTTTTTGAATAGATTGGATGTTGAATTTGAACAAATCCAAGGAGAGATTCTTAGAAAAGATCCAATATTGGATCTTGGAGAGGCCTATGCATACGTACGTCATGATGTTGTTTGCAGAATCACTCTAAACAATGAAGCTAATCATGTTGAATCATCTACGATGATGGCACGAAGAGTCAAGCCTAGAACATACTAGTCAACTGGTATTGGTCCTATTATTGAAAAAACTAAAGATATCAGGACTTTAGAATAATAACAATGAGATTGGATAGGACGAATCATAATACATTTGCACTTATTATAGTGAAACTGGGCATACAAAGCTAAAATGCTATGAACTAATTGGATATCCAAAATGGTGGGATCCTACCAAACACCACACAAACGAAACCAAAAATCAAACACTCATGCCTTAGTTGCTGTAGCAAAACACACCACCACACGTACAACTCAGGATGACTCAACCTTAGTCACAACATCTAGTGTAGTAGTAAAACTTACCACCATCAACACAACTAAAGAGGATTCAACCTTAATCACAACATCTGGTAAGGCCTTTCACACTTCTACTATTATTAATAGTAATGAATAGATAGTTGATTCTAGAGTTACTAACCACATGACCTTTAACAATCTATGTCTTCAATCCTTAAAACCTTCTAAACAACATATTATATTTAGAGCAAATGGTACACCTTCTCATGTTATTGGGGAAGGTTTTGTCACTCTCACTAAAGATATAAGCATTGATTCTATATTGGCTGTCCAAACTTTCAAATATAATTTATTGTCAATGGCTTAAATAACCCTTACTTTGTAATATATTGTGATTTTTTAGCTTAACTTTTATGTTTTTAAGGACATTTAAACTCGAAAGATAATTGGATATGGTATTAGACGGGGGAAGCTGTATTATCTAGATTTAATGCCAGCAAGCTCTCATCAGTTAGCTCAAGCATTCTCCGTGAATAAATCTACAAACTCTGAGGTTTGGTTGTGGTATAAATATCTAGGTCACTCATCATTTAGATACTTAAAGAAATTGTAGCTAAAACTCTTTACTAAACTATCTATCTCAAACTTTAAATATGATGTGTGTGAAATAACTAAAAGTCATCGAGTTCCATTTCAAATAAGTATGAATAAAAGTATAACACCTTTTATGGTTATCCATTTGGATGTTTGGGTTCCACCAAATACCTCATCTCTTAGCGATAAATGGTGGTTTATTTCCTTTATTAATGATCACACCCGTGTGACTTGGATTTACTTAATGAAATCTGACACGACCAAAAAATTGATGTCTTCTTCTAAGTGTAGGAGTGTCGAAGTAATAAATAATCTAGCAAAATCAGAGTCGAACCATAGAAAGGTTAACTATATAAATTATAAATAACAACAACAATAACAGCAACAACAACAATACTACTACTACTACTACTACTACTAATAAAAAGAGTTTTGAGATGTGATATTAATATAAGGATTAAAAAATGATAAAAATAATTGTCAAGATTAGATGATCTACTAAAGGTATTTTAAATAAGTATAGTATAAACTCTTATCACTCAGCTGGAAACCACACACAAAGGAGGTTCCAATCAGATTTTAAATTGTTAACATGATAACATTAGTTATCTTATTTGAATAATGCTAATACTTATAAATATTATCAGGTATTCATGATTATAACTTATATTAACACCAAATGAAATTCCTTTTATAGCACAAATGTCAGTTATACCATACAGTTTAGGTTATCAAAGTGCCAAGTATTTGTTGTACCAAGGGTTATACAATATAAATCTAGATTAACCATTTACCAAGCAAAGTATTATAAGTGAACAAGATAACAAATACAAAACATGTTAGTATAAAATATTAAGGTCTATATTGAGTTTATACTATACTTATTCTTACACTATTAGTGTAACCTTTTCACCTTAACATAATAAACTTAACTAAACATAATAAAAGAAACAAACATAAATACCATAAAGTCAACTGACTTGGGAGCTATTGGCCCAACGCTTGTTACATGAGTTGAGGAGAAAAGCTTAAGGGAATCAAACATTACACTATCTACATATTAGTATCTGCGACCTGAGTTACTAAGCTCGTAGGGGTGTCTCAACACCTAATGCTCTAAGACCAACTAGTCTGGGAGTCATTAGCCGAAAGCTCGTTACATGAGTTAAAGATGTATGGTGTTTTAAGTTATATGTATATCTATTAAAAAAAAGAAAAAAAAAGAAAAAAAGAAAGAAAAAATAATAATCACAACCCAAGAAAGTTAACCTTAAACATTAGAACAAAAATTTTGTTTTCTTCCAATAAAAGCCCCATAACTATGTGTTGATACACTAAGTACAAAACAAAAGGTTTATTAATATCTTATTTAAGAGATATTGAGCAAATATATAAATTTAATGAGAGTTTATTTATCCGGATGGATTAATGAAAGTTGAATGATGAATACCTTACTTTGTGGAATTTGCAAATTGTTTTTCTATTTTAACACTTTGATTACTAGGGACTAGTAATAAGCTGGTTGAGGGGTGTGATTAGTACTTAAAAGTGCATTTTTATCAATGTTTTATATCATCATTTTGCACTCGAAGTATCAATAACTCCTTAACTAAAGCATGTTTTATAATATATGATACCTTTAATTTGTGGTAAATGTTTATTTTAAATGCAGGCCTATCACATAAATAAAAGGATTGATTGATGAATTTAAGAACTGAAATTGAAAGGACAAAGAGATGGCCAAACATAGAAAAGAGATGTAGGTGCAATTCAAATCAGAACACTGTTCGGTAATTAGGTCATATCTGGAACTATAGATCTCAAATTTAAGTCTACTTAATATAGATAGAAAGGTAAGACATAGGACTACAATTTCATATGGAGCACAATATTTAAAAAGTTCATTTTCAAGTATAAATTATAGCAACAACAAAGAAGTCCGAATCTATCCTACAACCTACGCACTATTCAGTTTTTGGCCCATATCTGGAGTTCTAGAAGTCCAAATGACCTCTATTTTTTTTTCCTGGAAAGCTGAGATAATTTCCTACAACTTTCAAGTAGTTCCAATTCTAACATTATCAATGACATTTTGGGCAGACAAGAGAAGATAAGGATTGTCACCAAGTCAAGAGTTAGCCACCCACTTATCAATTAGTCATCAAATCAATAGTTCTCAATTTTGGTTTATAAAAGGAGGCATTTGCCATGCATTTAGGCATCTTGCTTTCCAGATCAAGATCATACTCTCGCTTTCTCTCTTTGTATTTTTTGTAATATTTATGTTTTGCTTTCATTAATATCAAGTTTATGCCTTTCATTTCCTTTCCTTTACTTAGTT